CAATGCCATGTTGATCCTTTAATTTTCCCGCTGATATAATGTTGCATGTGGAGTTGGGTGAAAGAAGGGATTCATCAAGCTCCAGTGATTGACTACCAATCCTTACAAGACTGGTTCCCTGATATGTCAACACTGAATTTCCCACAGCTTGATCAAACCTGAAGGGTTTTCGCAATTTATTCAGCGTGGTGAAGTCACTTTTGTGACGAATAAAGTGGTGCGAGGCACCAGTGTCGTACAGTAGAGGGTTTTTGATTAAACTAGCTGTTGTAGCCCTAGCTAGTCTGCAACTTGACATCCCCTCGCTCTCACTGTCTTCATCACTGCTCCCAATTGCGACACTCACGCTTGGTTTTCCCTTCGCTTTTCCCTTTTTCGACTTTTTCCCTTGCCTCAACTCTGGGTGCTGCTTAAAACAATTCTTGTTTCTGTGTTGATGGGTACACGGCACGCAGTAGTCATTTGGGCCCCCAACAGCTTTCTTCTTCCCTCCATCGTTCCTCTCGCCCTCACCAGTCATCACCATCACCTGCCCTGACGACTTCCCTTTCGACTGTCCAACTTGGCGAAGCGTTGACATCATCGACTCGAGCGGCACATACCTGTTCTTTCCGTCTAGGATCTTGGTCTGCCTCCAAGTATCCAGCCAATCAACACTCTCTGTTCCCAAAACGAAAAGAAAACTTGCTAGCCCATGGCGTACAGTGTATGGATTATCCGAGTCAGAAATAGATTGCTGGTGATACATTGACTCAGCGGCACTGTTAACGCTCAAGTAGTGCTGCATAAACTTATCGCAGTATTCTTCGATTGTTGTGAACTTTGTGTTGATTAGATTTCTGACGGCACTCTCATATGGTGTGGCCGCACTTTCCTCTCGAGTCGTCGCTATTGTGTCGAATATTTGCTTCGCTGACATTCGCCGAAAATTCTGGGGACGAACACTTGGACTTAGTCGTCGGAGCAGGACATTTTTAGCCTCAATTTCTCCCTCTTTCCACCTCGCAAGTTCCTCCGCGTACTTCGCCGAGGTCTTGCAAAACTCGTCGTCGGTTTGATTTTCTCCCCTGATCGGTTCACGAGGTCGAAATGCCGGTTGAATTTCCTCGAAGTCATGAAATACATGGGCTAACCGACCTTTCTTGATCAGGGCCGCCTGGAGATCCGATTCCCAGTCCGCAAAGCTTACTCCAGGGGTCAAAACAATTGCTGAGCTTCTATTCATATTGTAAGGTGGTTTATATCTTTGGAGAAGTTAGGATGACTGGTTTAAAGCATTATCGAGGTGCCACAGAGAAGGACTCCGGGCTCATAACCTGTTATATTAACTAGGCTATATGGGAGCAGGACGATGGATACTCTTGGGGAAGTTATGCTCACAGTAGGTCTCTATAGTCGCTGTCGCGTGTGTTCTCGTGATATGTAAGACTTGACTCTATATTCTCGTATAAAGGAAACTTAGTTACAAATGAATGGACGGAGGTTGAGACCTCCTTATATCTTGCTCCAGACTTACTGTGTTGTTCACAGCCTAGTGCTAGAACATTCCCTTATGATATCATTTCTCTCCTACGAGAAATGACCAGCTCGTTCTCTCTCAGTCCATCAGTCTCTCGCTGATTCCGTTATCTCTATTCCATCTAGTTCTAGTTTGGTCCAGTATACTCACACATGCATCACACATGCATTACACACTAAACACCCTACGGTTTAGTTCCACAGTCACGTGCATATGCTATGACGCGACCTAAAGCATGTACCATGGTAAGTTACATGGATAACACAACACTTAACAATAGTCAAGGCTTTAATATTAATACCCTTTCAACGGCTATCTTTGTTTAACATTATATAGTCGTGGGGGAAATTAGGTCAACAAGTGGAAGAATAATCGGTGAGAAAAGACCAAAGTAAGGTAGAAAGAAATCCAAGTGGACCTTGGTGATGGTATGAGAGAGCTATCACACGGTACGCTCTTGGATAAAAGTCTTTGGAAGGGATACACTAGTGTGGCATATTGCTTGTAGAGGAAAACGAAACAATAGCACACTAGTGATTTGGATAGAATAAATACCGGGGCAACCACAGCACGAAAACTGGGGGAGTGTATTCGAGAGCTGAGAAAGGCTGACACCAAGACGCCAAAATCCTGGGGGAGCCTTTGAACTCAACGATAAGACATTAAAGGATCGCTCTGGACAATCATAGGACTCTACGGTGTACGTTGGGGAAAATGAGAGACGATGAATCAATTCCAAAGAATACCTAGCTTGGATTGATTCATCGGAAATTTAAAGAACAGTTTGGTAGCAGATAACTAGCAGTTCAAGCAAACGTCTAACGAAGCAAAGATACAGGAAGACAAGGAATAAGCCCAATTAGTCTATGGGGGAGTGTTAAAATCTAGAATAATTAGGGCTATCAAGTAGGCCAAGTTATTGATACACACACGTGACTAAAAATTCTGTACTTAGTTTCACTACGATATTCTCTTGAATAAATGCACTCTACTACCTCAATGAATGAAGGGTAATTGAGTGTTTGTGTTTATTGTACTACCTGAGTCATAGACTATCTTGCACCTTGAGCTCCTCTCTGGCCCAGGCCACACCTTGTACAGTGCTCCTTGCCTCACATGTTTCTTGAAAGATCACTGATATTTTGCCCGTGATGGTTAGATGTTCAACTCAGCATTCACCCATGAAGTCTTCTACCCGAAAAAAAAGGTAGCAATAGAAACTGCGTGCACGGGAAAAAGTCTCAAAAATCCTGCAGCCCCAGCCAGGCGAGGCCTGGACATCGGAACCACACGAGGTGCGCATATTTATCTATATCTCTCTTTGTGTGAACTGGCTCACAACATGTTATGTACAAGGGTCGAGTTGAGACTTTTCCTTATAGGGAATAGCGTTTAGCCAAATGTAACAATGTATTTATAGAATTCCTCCCGGCAGGGAGAAGAAATAGGAATGAATTGAGTAACCCCACACAAGCTTGTGAATTGACCATTGGTAGTGTTCCGACACTGATCAGTAGACGTACGGATCAGATACACCCTTTGAAGAGAGATCCAATCGCATAGTCCCTGAAAAAGGCCTCTATTTGATTGTATTTGCTAAGGAGTTTAAATTTATGGTTGACCCCTTTCGCAAGGCCCTCAACTTCGAAGATATACTCAAGAAATCGACCCCTGACAAAGGCCCTCGATTTGCGTCCATCACGTATAACAAACCCCTCCAAATCCCGACTATCCTAACCTATCCTATTTCAAAATGTCTGACCCAACAAATGAGTCCGAAACCACAGCAACAAGAACAGCAGCAGCAGCAAAAGCAATGAACGTTTTGATTGAATCCAAGATTATAGAATACAATAAGTACAAGTTCAAGGACGACAACCTTTGGGAGGCGTTCAAGGATGACTTCTCCAATTGTACAGCGGAGAACTTCAAACTTGCTAAACTACCGCTTCAACGCGCGCTCCGCTCACACCTTGTGATTTGACCATTGGTAGTGTTCCGACACTCTTTTTTATTGCATCTTCTTGTGAAATTGCCCTGATCCCTCCAGATTCCACCCAAGGAACTGTCTCCCAGATTTGTCCACCACTCTTTATTTCCTTCTGCGGGTAAAAATATCGGCGTGAGCTTATATTTGGTGGACAGCTGAGGCCATATAAATTCGACGAGAGGTGTCGTCATTGGGATGAGGATGTACTTGGTCGTACTTGCAGACTCGATGAGGCTTCGGTGGGAATCGAACTCGTTGGGGGAGATAGATTTATTTGGTGGAGGATCTTGAATCATTACCTCAAAGGCCAGTTTCATTGATATTGTGGAATTTGACTGAATCTTGCTTTGGAATAATATTTCACTCCCAAATTAGTAGAAGACACCGCTCATAGGTTTGCAGTCTTTGCATTCCCCACAAAGTCCAAGATCGATATGAGATTTAGTTTGTTATTTTACGTCTATCTGACACAAATCACAGGCATTACATGAGATGCCAAAGCTTACTGCTAAAAGTGCCTGAGGCCTCAACAGTCCAAACATTAGCAGGCAAAGCCTTTTTTTTTTTTTTTTTTATATCATAATGTATTCAGATATCTAGCTATGACAATGGCAAAGCCTTTTGTTTTTGTGTGTAAAGGGTTATGGAGGAGGTATCCAGCTCCAAAACTTTAGGTACATTAGCGGTAAAGGTTGTGGGCATGTAAACACTGGGAAAAATTACTACCTATGTATTTAAGTTGGGTGAATGGGCCAGAGTATAAAATCCTTCTGTTCAAATTTCTAGTCAACATCATTATGCTGAGATTCTGGTCATTGTCGGGAGCAGATTTTTGAAAAGAATCTTATATCTTGCATCTACTCGGTAAATTTTTTTACTCCACTTTGATTACCAAATAGGTAACTAACGTTATCGCTGTAGCTCCTTGGAACTCTAGGTAGCCTTACTGAGGGAATGTGGCAGGTCAAGAGATGCCCTGGTGACTGGGAGCCCCGCAACTACATGTTTGTGTGCGTCGAAGTGTTTAAACTTTTGGTGGTAGGCAGCAAAGTTGTTATTCCCTGAGCGGACGGCTTAAAAATGGACCGCAAAGGAAACTTGCTTTGAAATGCTCGGACGGAAAATTGAGGAGATGAAAATAGAAGGAAATCCAATTGCTCGCCAAACTCTAAATAAGAATCATGTGACTAATCTAAACTCATTCTAAGTTATTGATAAGATGAATTTTACACAAGTAAATATGTTCATTCAGCTTCACTCAATCTCGCAATACATTAAAGGGTTCCATTTAAGCATGAGAGCCTAATTAATCAAACTTCCTGGTGAAATTCACGGTTAGAATTCGTTGAGTCTTTGCGGTAAACGACGAGATATTTTGTGTACCGCAACAACCTACATATTTACGACTACGGGTTGGCAATTGCATTCATCCTCTATCCGACGCTCTCCATGTTATTTCTCTAGCCCTCAATCCCAAGGGCAGCAAGGAAAATGGCGTTCCCAGCAACTCCGCAAAAGCCTCTGCCTGGTGCGTATTTTGCGACACCTGCGCCCTCCCGTTACGCAAAAAGTGCTCCCTTTTATCAACCAAATTTTACTAAACAAAGTGATAATGAGGCGCCAAGTAATTCCGCATCAGAAAACGTAGAAGCAGCAAAGATGGAAGCTTTGAAGCCAGTGCAACGCGGTGCAAGGACAATCAATGAAGTCCTTCAGAGAGAGGCTAATTTTCCAGATCTGGACAGTTATGTGAGACGTGAGTACTTTATCCAGGGTCAGTTTGTTAATTCAACTGATTGAAACATCACAGAGGGTATCTCATCTGACTATAATGTTTCACACGGCCAGACAGAAGCCGCCTGGTCGCCTTTCCAAAAAACCAAAATGTATGATATTCCTGATAGAATATTCGAACAGTATAACCGCGCTGAAGTTTCCACTATGATGGGGTTGTTCGCGGAAATAAATCATGCATGGGTTACAATAGATAACTGTTTGTACTTGTGGGATTATACAGATCCTAACCCAGAAATTATTGGATATGAAGATCAGTCAAACAGCATTACAGCCTTAAAGTTGGTTGTACCTCGAGCTGGCGTTTTCATTGTTGATGTCACTCATTTACTTGTAGTTGCCACTACGATAGAAATAATTCTACTAGGAGTTAGCTGTAAATGTGAGGCTAAAGGATCAAGCCAGCAGGATTCGAAGAATACGAAAAAAGTTTCTCTATACGCGACTCGGATGTCACTATCTATACGAGGCATCAATATTCATACTATCGAAGGATCCAGGGAAACCGGTCGCGTATTTTTTACGGGCAAAGCCGAGCCCAGCGTCTATGAACTGACGTATCAACAAGAAGAAAAATGGTTTGCTAATCGCTGTGGAAAAGTTAACCATTCATCTCCAGGATATGCAGCTCTGGTGCCAACTATTTGGGGAGCGAAATCACAGGAGTATGTCGTACAGATAGTTATTGATGATTCCCGAGGTCTATTGTACACTTTATCATCAGAATCTACCATACGTACATATCATATGGACACTCCTTCAACACTAAAGCAGGTTATTGAGAAAAAACGTCATGAATGCCTTCGAGACATCAGCCACATGATATCCCAATCCATATTATTGACAAATTCGATGAAAATATGCTCTATAAGCTCAATTTCGGCGAAAGAAGGTTCAAAGTTACATATGATGGCTACAACAACAACTGGCTGCAGGCTGTTCCTAAGCGCAACGCGGGGATATGGATATGTAAGTGGTCAAGGTGCACCTCAAAGTATGCAAGTCCAGCACATAAAATTTCCACCACAAAGCGAGTCCCAAACTACGGGTGCTTCTCAGCCACAAACATATGGTCTAGAACCAGTTACAGAGACTTCATCACTTGCACTATCTTATACGCGGATTGGCTCACGCTTTCCTCCAGGGCTCAACTTATTCCTTATAACCGAACGTGATAGAAATGGGCACGATCTACTCTTCTTAACTAGTCCAGACACTGGTAGAATAGCAGCACAAGCCCGTGGTCTCACAGCTCAAACACTTAGATATTTTGAACAGTCATGCTGGCTTGATTTAAATAGTCACGCCGAAGATATAGGCTTAGTGACTAAACCATATGAGCCAACAACACAACCTATTGGGTTCGGCAACGAGCTAGCCGTGCAGTTTGAAGATGTGAGTCAAGAGATTGCTATCTTGACGAATACTGGGATTCATATCATTCGAAGAAGAAGGTTAGTTGATATTTTTGCAGCTGCTATCAGAAATTATAGTGGCGATGAGGGACTCGAAAAAGAAATTAAAAAGTTTATTCAATATTACGGAAGGGCAGAAACAACAGCTACTGCGCTTGCTGTGGCTTGTGGACATGGCAGTGATTTTGTTCCAGGCGATACCAGGATTGCACGAACTAGCAATTCAGAGACCTTAGAGCTTGCCAGAAAATGCTTTGTCGAATATGGAGGGCGGCCTTCGTTCAATGAAAATGTAGCCTTGGAAGGAACAAACCATGCTGTTGATAACGTACAGCCATCTTCTCGGCATGAGGGGCTCGCAATATACATGGCAAGACTAGCTCGTCCTGTATGGAAGTTGCCAGTAATCACACGGACTATTGACGACTCTGGAAGCGCGAAGCAGATAGGTTCGACAATTGACATCGCACAATTAACTCGAATTCAGGAAGATCTCATGAGGCTGGAAAAGTTTCTTGAAAAGAACAAGCTTTTCATTCAGGGGCTTGCTGGACCAGAGTGTCTCCAAAGAGTAACGAGTCAGCAAGAAGAGATCGCACTTCAGGGCGAACATCAAGCCCTCCACTCCCTTCAAAAATTAAACTTAAACATTATTGAAGGTATATCGTTTGTAAAGGTGTTATTTGAAGAAGGCGTAAATGATATATGGGCAGCACTCGATGATACCACTAGGCAAAGGTTAAGTGATCTATCATTTGAAATACTCTTTTCATCAGATCAGGGAAGGGATCTCGCCAAAGTACTGGTCAAAGCCATCGTGAATCAAAATATAGCCAAAGGATCGAATGTTGACACTGTTGCTGATGCTCTTAGACGCAGGTGTGGAAGTTTTTGCAGTGCAGATGATGTAATTATTTTTAGGGCTCAGGAACAACTGAAGAAGTCCTCGGAGATTGGTTCCAACACTGACATGGGACGCAAACTCCTCAATGAAAGTCTCAAGCTTTTTAATCAAGTTGCTGGCTCTCTGACATTTGGGAACCTTCAATCAGCTGTATGTCAGTTTTTAGACGTGCAATTTTTCGCTGGTGCCATCAGTCTATCTCTTCTCGTCGCCCATGAATCTGACCGAGGAAACAGAGCCTTAGCTTGGGTAAATGAAGATAGGCCTGCAGCTGATCCCCGCTGTTCTCTTTTTGAGTTTCGAAAACAGTGCTATAATTTGGTATATCAAATTCTAGAACATATAGAGGCGTATTGTAGCTCTGAGCCGGACATGATTGATGGTAATCCAACCCTTGCAGCCACTCGAAGAAATGAAGCTAGTCAAGTTGTCAATACTTCCGATGATGAACTCTTCCAGTTTGATCTCTACGAATGGTACCTCGCCAATGGGAAAGAGAGAACTTTACTATCTATCGATTCGGATTATGTGGTACAATTCCTGACCAAGTCGGCCAGTTCTAGCCTCGAAAGGGCCGACTTACTATGGAAATTTCATCAGGGTCGTGATCAATTCTATGAGGCTGCAATGGTTCAATCAGGACTAGCAAAAAGTGATTTTGATATTCCCCTTGCTCGAAGAATTGAGTACCTATGTCGAGCGAAGGCAAATGCATCTGCCCTAACCTCTCAGACACAGCTTGTCGGTAGACAAGCACGCCAAGTTCTTCAATATGAGATTATAGAACTTCTTGATGTGGCTAACATTCAAGATGAGATATTGCAGAGATTGATGGCTGATCCTAGAACTGACGAAGCTAATCGACAACGTATTCTCGCAAAGCTAGATGGCAAAATCCGTGATTTGACCGTGGTAGGCCCTGCTCATGTATCATACCTGTCACAGCTCCCTAACATGTTTTAGCTTTACAATGAATTTGCGGATCAGGCATCATACTTTGATATCTGTCTAACTATCTATGAGGCAGCCTCCCATCGAAATGATGCTGATATAGCAGCTACCTGGCGACAACTTCTTGACACAACACACAGTAAGGTAATGGCTGATCCAGCGTCAGGCCAACTACCATACGAGGCGGTTATTACGATGGTTCGAGAAATGTCTCGACGTCTTGGTCCATCGGAATCCACATTCAGTCCTCACATACTTATACCCATGCTTGAGAAATATGGTGCAGAAAGTCAATTCCTTATTGGTCCTCGCGTATGGCTTCCGCAACTCTTTATAGAAGTCGGGTTCTCCCATGAGGTTATTATCGGCGTGTTACAGGACATGTGGTATCAAAATTTAACCCCTTTTACCGAACAAAAGAGACGTATACTGGCTGAGCATATTCTTTACGTCATTGAGCAGTGGTATGAAGACTGCATGCGTGCAAATAGTAGATTATTTGGCAGCGATGAAGTTGCCAGCAACGTGACGCAGTTGTTGGAAAAGCTTGTTGATTCAGATCTAACTGCGGCTGACTTAGATGTTTGTGCAGAGCTACGGCGACGAATACAGAGAGCTTTTCAGTGAAAATAACCCTTTTTTCGTCGAAATTTTGGTATTTATCCAATTAGTTCAGGGACTAATGTCGATCGTGCGACTGTACGAAAGCGAGTCACTTAACGGATTGCTTATTTTCACTTTTTTACGTTCCTAACACGCGTATTCTTCCGAAATTTTACTTTTCTAGAACTAGAAACAATGGCGGTCGAACATATGACCATGAACAGACCTATCTGTAATAGAATAATCAATTAACCTTATAACACACCCGCGCTGTTTACATAAACTTCGCGACTTCACTAGTTGTTCCGAATGCTTCTACTCAAAATCTCTTCTATGCATAGCAAATAAAGCGCTTCTTTTACGTTTTTTTCACTCGAGGGGGTGGGAATATAGGGCCTTGAAAGCTCTTACTGTATAATATTGATTTATTTGATGTACATATGTCGATTTCAAGGTCGAGAAATGGTAGCATTGATACTCAAGTGTTAATAGATTTCTAAGAAATTCATTCGGTATCTTATAACGACGGATCTCATGGACTGGATGAGATTAACACGTTTATTCTATTTTCTCATTAAAGAATTTTTCATGGAAAAAATGACTCTCTTCATTTTCCGTGCCAGTATGTACTTTGGTATGACATTTCGATGTAACGTGACTTTAAAATAACAAATTTCAAGGTCTTGAATAACACAAGAATCAACATCCATCTTACACAGAATATTTCAACGGAATTTATCTTGATTTTACAGCATCCATCATCTTTATGATAAATTCTTTCTCTCGTACTTTAAACAAAATCCAATTTCTATTTACTCATATTAAGACAAGTTACTCAAGATACAAGATATTTTCGAGAACTCCTTTGTCGACAAAATATCGTATAAGTCAATAAGGCAAAGAAGCAACTAAATTGATAGCAAACGAGGTGACCAGTAAAGCTCCTGTTGAAAGAGTTCCCATAATATCCATAAAATCTAAACCAATTTTTCTGACAGATATTTGGGTATACAACTGCAGAGTGAAAGTCCATTAAATATTTCTGTTCTTGACCTGAAAAGCACCAAAATATTCACACAGTTACGGCCAATGTGTAGCTTGGTAACTTGACCTTTAAAATGCGAAAGCTCCCTTAATGTTCCATTTTGAGGACTTTGTTGGCTTGTTCATGCTGATATTCCTGGTATGCTAAACATAGACATTAGCACCATGAGACTCAAAATTCAGATAAAAAATTCCCTAACTAATCCTCAGCGAATTATTACCGTTAAATGAACGAAATCTCTTGAACTATCCTGCAGTTGAATAGGCGTAAATATTTTAGAATGATAGAAGTTACGCTTAAAAGTGTTTTTTAGATAGAACAGAATAGAATTTTATTTATGTCCCTACTGAGTCTATGACTATGAAGTACTGTTTTTTAGATAGCTACTGAATATAATAGATTTAACTATTTAAACTACAAGTAAGAGCTATAATGTAGACAATTTCTGCACCACAAGAATGTAAATCATCGTAACTAGCTCTTGTACTCACACCACTCAGTCACAGGAGAGTTTATGCGAATGATTTTTTGGGATGTTAGATGAAATTATTACTCGACAAAGCGATTAAGTGGAATGGGAACCAACATGTGGGAATGCAAAATACAAAAGATGACAAAAAGTAGCTGGGAAAACCGCAGCTTTCAAAGAATGGTCAGAATCAGGGACAAATCAAAAAAGGAAGAAACGCCGGGGTCTTCAAGCATACCCAGCTCTCAGTACATAAAAAGCAGCAAATATGTACCCCGTTGAAAAAATAAGCGGGTTTCCCATGAACTACAGAGAAATATCAGTCCAAATTCACATCAGGCTTCGTAGGGCCTAAAGCTGCATCGCTACGCAAGTTGTAAGGGAGCAACATCGGATTTCAGGCTTACTAATACCCAAGGTTGTTCCAGTAGTAGGAAATATAAGATGCAAATTATTGAAATGTATAACCCACTACTTAGTTCGTGAACTTTATTGGTAAAGGGAAGCTTGTGCAATAATGAAGGGTAAAAGGATGTCAATTCGACTACTCTACTAAACACAGGTACCAGACTCCTTTTAACCCCAATATATAGCCCGTGCGGGATCTCCTATTAACAGCAGTAAACAACGCTAGCACAGGAGGGCAAGACTGAACACCTGTACGCAGTGTCCTCTACGAACCTGGGAGTGAAATATTCTCCCAGAGCCAAGTTCAGTCAAATTTCGCAATATCAAAGAAGTTGGCCCACGAGGCAAAAATCCAAATCACTCCACGTCGTTATTTCGCTCCCAACGAGTTTGACTCCTATCTTTGTCTCATCGAGTCTACAAGTACGACCAAGTACATCCTCATTCCAATGACCACACCACTCTTTGACCTTCTCTGGCCTCAGCTGGTCACCAAATACACGCCCACGCCGATATTTACACCCGACGGAGGAAGCAAAGCGTGGCGCACAAATCTGGGAGACAGTTCTTTGGGATGGATGTGAGAGGGATCAGGACAAGTTTACAAGATGATGCGGAGGAAGGATATAACCTCGAAGGGCGTGAGATTCCGAATTTCGGCAAGGAGTTTTACGAATTGAGCTTTGTGCGCGCCAAGACTTCGCTTGCGAGAGTGCAGCTGACACTATAAAAACAAGCCGACGATGGAAGGTGTTAAGGTCCGCCTCCTGGTGGTGTTCTCTGATATAGTTTGAGTAGCCTGGGCACCTACTCCACTTGGGAAGGAGACATCTCAGATTACATTTCGCGCGGAGAGAAGTTGAATGATGATGGAGGCATGTCTGGACAACTCTGGGTTTTTGAGACGTTCCCCTGGGTGGGTATTCACGGATGAGGATTGACTTGGGGTGAAGAAAAAGCCACCACAACTTCGCAGTGGTACTTGCAAATGAAATCCGAGGCATGAGTGCTCTTTCTTTACGTTGAATCATCTATTCTGTACTTTTCTTTGATATTGTGTCATAGCTAGATAGCTGCATACGCAATTAAAATCTGATGCAAAAAAAAAAAAACGCTAGCACAGGGTACACGCAATATCCGTTCGCCAAACACCAGTCGGTCGGGACTACTAATTATCGAGCCTAGTAGGATCGACATAGTGTATCCCACCACAGAAATCATAGAAAACTCAACAATCAAATCCTTCATCAATTACTTCCATTAAGCATCACCTGACTCATCTCTGAACTCCATAATTTCGACACAAATGCGGATATTCGTCAGAAAACGTTAGGCATAAGGTGATTCCTTGCCGCAGATGGGCCAAATGGAGGAGCGAGATGCTAGGAAAATCAGCGACCCATTCTTTCGAAATTATGATAAGAATGCTAGAGATATAGCTAGAACAACACAGCGAATTTTAAAAGATGAATGGCTAGATTGATTCAATTTAGCGTAGGAAACTGAGTCCGTAAGATGGCAAATGCGAAAAGAGATGAAGGCAAGGAACGGGATCCTCTCTGGCTATAACGCTGGGCGCTCTCTTTCCCGAGGTAGAACGATAAGAGCTTAGAATTAAATCAGGAATTCTGGCGGGTTTAACTGAAACGTATCCTCTAACCTGCATTAAAGAGTTTGGTCGACATCCGCAGAGGCCTGTGGCGCTTCAAATTGAGGTAAATGAATTTAAATTCAAGAGAAATTGTAATTGTGTCGATTGGCCTTAATTTACGTATACGTAAGGTTAGTTCAATGCAAAATGAAAGGCACGAATGTGAGGTCTTGATTCTTGTTGTCATTGTTTCTATCTGTGAACACTGCGAACGTCCAGTTCGCGGTGTTGGCTGAGTCATCAAGACAATGACCCAGCAACAGAGAGATGCACCGCACTAAGCGCCTAGTAAAGGAAGTGCATTCCAACAAATTGTAATTATCAATGTAGTAAGATAAAGATTGCAAATACGAGTAAGTTACGAGCTCGTAGATCATTCCTTTTCAGTGCTCTGGCAAAAAACCCCACTAGTAGAATCTAGGTAAATTACATTATTATGGGTTGTATTGTAAAATAAGCTGTGTAATACTACATGGATATAGAATGAAATAATAAAGAGTTGATATTTCAAAATTATGGATACTTTACACTTACACATATATATATATATGAGATAGATCCCAACTAGTCTCGCATGCCCATCATACTTAATATTGACCAGTCACCTCCGATCTACATTGGCAAGACAAATTATATTGCAGTATGTGAATATCCAGTCTTCTTTTTTGCGTCAGATTTTAACTACGAATGAAGATATCTGACAATAACACCATATAAGATATAAAATAAAGGATGAATGACTCGGTCTCAGAATAGAGCACTCATACCTTGAATTTCATTTGCAAGTACGACTGCGAAGTTACGGTGACTTTATCTTCACCCCAATTTAGCCCTCATCTGTGAATGCCCACGCTGGAAAATCCCCCAAAAACCCAGAGTTATCTAGAATTGACTCCATCGCCTATTTACTCGCCTCCGCGCGGGGGACTATTCTCAACTCCTGTCAGTGGTGTCCCCTTCGAACCACCAGCTCTCACTGTAGAGTCTACAGAGCCGAGATTGAGTAACAAAGTCCTCACTTCGACGAGGATTCCTAATCGCTTTCGCGGTCTGTATCGTCTTCATCTCTCAACACCTTCTCCTATCACCATTATCATGAAGCTAACCTCGATCAGATCAGATGATAGGGTCGAAGCCCTTCTCATCACCAACCCTTGATCATGGAGGAGAAGCCATCCGATAAGTTTCCGGAGCGTACCCAGCACCCGATACAGCAATGGTGGATTGGATCAAGTCGGCCTCGAATGTTGCAGAGAAGAGAGATATAGATGGTCATGTGCGCCTTGTGTGGTCCAGGTGTCTAAGCCTCGTCTGGCTGGGGCTGCAGGTCTTTTGAGACTTTTTCCCGCGCATGCAGTTTCCATTGCTACCATTTTATTTTGTTTGCGTAGAAGGTTCCGTGGAAAAGGTGGCCGAATTCCACGGATAAATGCCAAGCTGAATAGCTACTCATCGTGGATGTGACGAAAGCAAGCTGGTTGTAGTATACTTTCAGAAAGATTTAACTATATGAAGAGAGAAGCAACACAACTACGAGTAATGACTATTTGTACATCCTGCTAGCTCATCCAGTACGTACTCCGATGGTGAGCATGACATATTGCTCCGCCACTACCCGTCGTTATCTTTGCCATCTAGCTTGACTCTCTCACCTGGCAATTCTACTTCGCTGTCTCACATTTCTTCCCAGCTCCAATGTAATGTGGCCAAATGAAACTTAGACACTTGATACAAGATAACATGGAACACTCTCCCTAATACGCCCCCAAACTCCGCTTATGTCTCCACCTAAGCTAAACCACGGTCAAACCGTAACAATGGGCAATATATCAATGACCATCCAAGGAATATAAGAGCTTAGGAACGCTGTACAAAGTGTGGCCTGGGTCAGAAAAGAGCCCAATGTGCTAGGTAGTCTATGACTCAAGTAGCACAATAAACTCACACACTCTCATACTGTTCACAGTACTAGTTGAAACGTCGTTATCTAGGGACTGGATCTCCTCCATGCGCCACGATGCCATAACGAATACCTATGGACCAGCTACTGGATCTACCATACCTATATAGCTGAGAATATCACTGAGATCAAGTATTTCTACCACAAAAAGAAGCACACGGAACCCACTTTTATGGCGGAAGAAAATGTCATTGAGCCGAACAAGTGTACAAGGTGGTTTGGATTATATTTTGACAGAAACTTTAATTCAAGCAAAATGTACAGAGTCTGCCAATATTGCCGCGTGGTAATGGGTCATGTTGATCGAGCAAACAATAAGGATGAAGGAGCTCACCCAGCCCTGCTTAGACAAGCGATGCAAGGCGTGGAGTTTACGACGCTTCTCTATTATGTCAAAAATAGACCGTCCCGTAAACTTTACGATAGATAATCAAGTAACAGAAAGTCATCAATCTTACAGCCCAATCCGTCTTTCTGCCCTGCGAATTTGTACCTGTCCTGACGCTTCTGTGCGAGCGAGGCTGGATCGATTCTACGACCACCTCGAAGTGCATATTGCTGCTGCCTAGCCAAAATACGTATTGCAAAAAGGACAGAACTCTTGTCGCTCATAATGGATCAGACGTTAGTAGTCTCTAGGACTCTTATTCGGCTAGCTGGCACGACCGTGGTAGAGGAAGTTTCGGGCCACAGCAAAAGAAATAATTGACGCTGTTGATCGCAGCGAGTGAACAGACTTATATCAGAGGCCGATTGCTCCAAAAAATACAGGAATACTTGAAACTATGGTGTATACAGACGGATCCCTGGATGAAGTTGAGAAGACGGGAGTAGATCACTGTATCTACTTCGGACAAATGACTGAAGTTTCATCAGTTCAAATACCCCTAGGACGTACTACCGAAGTGTACTACGTCGAAGTAATCTGAGCTACTGAAAGCCTGGAATTTGCTATTACGCATGTTGTGGCAAAATATGTCTCCAGCGTTACTACCTGTCTTGACAATGAAAGAGCCGCCCTACGTCTACACCCTGGGCATCGAACATCATCCAGCTCCAGATTAATTGGCGAGTTTTTTGCACTGAAAAAAGTTGGTCCATGGTGACGCGCGTGCCGAAGATAGCACCCGAAACAGTCAGAGTAAGATGGGTTCCGGGACAGACAGGTATACAAGGTAACGAAAGTGCCGCCCCTTGAGCGAAAAATGCCAACATGGAACCTGCCATTTGCATTGAGGCCACGTTCGCAAGGGCGACAAGGCTCCTTGAGGAACGTTACGAAGCACTCAAAGAAGTGGACTAGCACAATGATACATTTGGGCGCTGCTGGTCTTTTGTAATATGTAAGAAATTTTCAAGGATTTCTAGGGGGAAATATCTCGAAGAACAGGTGTACAATTTGGACAAGAATTTATCGACAGTTGTATAGGATGTCGAACTCCCTTCTCAATATGAATGAATAATATATAATGTTCTGTTAACCTAGTTTAACATATACAGATGAGTCTATCTTTAAATACAGATTCCCAAGACTTAAGTGATCTCGAACTCCCAGTGATCTGGCAACAACTAGCCACTCAATTATTGCAAGGTAGCATTTCCTAGCCACTGCATTTCAGATACCACTGAACCTCATGTCGCCTAGCTAAGCTTAACCATATTTAATCGAATCAATCCAATTGATCTTGGTGATCATACCTAGAAATCTAAACCTTCATATATACTGAGTCTAGATTTCCAACAGAATATAGGTGACAGGAAAAATGTTGGAAAATTTTCGATCCCTCCCCGGAAGAAATCTGGGCACATCTGTAGCTGCACTGTCAGAATATGGCGACTTGCGGTCTATCATAGAAAATTCAAAGACGAAGACGCAGCCCCATTTGTGATTGCGGCGAAGAAAAAGCGGTGGAATACCCCTTCATGTACCAGTATCAGTGGGCAACGTTAAAATTGTCCTAGAACATCACGAGGTCAAAAGGGTTATCTTAATTAGGCTTTTGGGACAGCAGTAGGACCAAGAGCATTTGAAAAATGTTCAATAGTTCAGGACCGCACGGCTTGAGTATGTGTCACGGTATTCTGATTTGGTCGTGTGCACCTGCGGGGTGTTTGCAGTAATTTGAGATAAGGGCAATTTTTATGGTTTTAAAAAAGATTTGGAGGTCTCGAGGTATGGTGAAGTACAATTACAAGAGTTGGCTATTATAGCAGTAGATTTTTCTTCACCGATGAGCTGCTGGTGCAGATAAAATAGACGTCTATAGGACGAAGGAACATCCCGGCGGCATCCTGAGAGCCCATTTGGCGTTAACCTATTTTTTCTACTCTGAGTCTATAACTACATAGGTTGTACAGTAGCTACCTGGCGCTAGATAGTAGCAACAATAATACTACTCAGATGGATAGTTTGACATAGATTTACTTATGTCCTGTCATAAACCATGGGGGCCTGGACTCTCTAAATACTTACCCCGAAACCTTATTGCAGTCTGGACTGGTCATGCCAACTTCGCAGCCTACTATCGCAAGTTCAACAATCGAGACGCTCTAGTAAGATGCATCTGCGATAAAACTAATTCGACTTACTTCACGCTCTTTTTATAATACGCACACATCATACATCGAATAAGAGGATCATTATCACTCAGGATCCCCATCAACAAGCTATCCGGACCAATGTGCATTGAGATCCTGCAACATTATGCGCATGAAACCTGCTCTTTTGGATCCCCTCGTGTGTATCCACCTCCTACTCTCAGTAGAGAGCTAATCTGATAAGCTATAATATTTATTATGACTATGTGGGGAACAAGGCTAGGAGTATTCCCTCTCAATAAATGTTTTTAAAATTTAGTTTGATTTGAAAGTTTTTTGATAACTTATCGCGGAAAATTTTTTTGTTACTTGCTACTATTTTTGTAACTGCTCACGCGAGGCAAATAAGCTGAGTATATCTTAGATGTAGTTTCGGCTGTGAAAACCGGTCCTATACCCACAGTGGACTCATAGCTTTAGCTTAGGACCTTAATAAAACAACAACTAGTACTTGAATGAAAGCTCTCTTCAACTTTATTAGTAAGAGATCATTTTCTCCTCAAAAAATTGGTCGTCGTAGGATCACATTATATATCTAGCTCCACATGTTAATCACTTCATAGACATTGATTTATATTAATGGCTTCTCAGTTTAAAAACGTCGCTCCAGAAGAATCCCAGATATCACTTATTCACTCTCCGTTACACATCAATACCCAAATATGTGATACGAGTGGAGATAACAAAAATCGTTATACGATGGTTGCGACACAAAATCAAGCTAATACTGTGATATCAAGAATCGAGTACGTTTTCGAATCAATGGTAGACTGTATATTAGGCAGCAAAAAGGAGCTTGTGATTCAACTGAAATTCCGAACAGACCTAGGGAAGGGCTTTCCTAGTTCAGATGACTCTACTCAAAAGCTAAGAAATATAATTTTTCCAAGCAAAAATCCACGAGAAGCTTGGAAATTTAGTGAGATACTTATTTCCATCTAATAAGTAATACTTATCGTTTAAAGCAGTTCTCATCAGGATACTTGAGTTGTGCCATGAAGCATTAACTACCGGAATCCTAATGACCAAACGGTGGGTTCGAGTAAAGTCCATCTCTTTGTTACCAGCCCTTAACCATATCCGATATTATTTCAATTGAATACTCAATTATTCGTCATCTCGTGATCTGATATTATATTTAGAGACATCTACTATCGAGAACCAGAGCTGTTTAAAAGGCAGTCTATCGTTGACCACTATATAGATGAGATCGCATACACCTTTGGGGTTGAGAGACTCGCTTTAAACGTGGTCAGTAGTGGTACACTCATAATTTTTACTCGATATTCATCGAAGTATTTTTCTAGGTCGCAGCGGCTAAAGGTTTGATGGCTGGATCCCTTACCATAATTCAGCACGGCTGCCCCGCCATTGACTACTCTTTTGCAACAGAGGTCAGTAGATCAAATCAAGATTAATAAGAAAGTGAAGGTTTGATGATTTTAACGATCTAGGGCATTCTGATTCCAAACTGGAGAGGAATTGAGGACATAATCTTGCATGATGTTTTTTGGATCCTTGTGATTGAAAAAGAGGCATCACATTAAATTTATTAAAAGGTGTACTAGCTGACAGTATTCAGGCTACTTTTCAAACCTTGGCTTCAAGCTTATACTGGAAAAGCTCTAAGGCAGGTAATGGAATTCTCATAACAGTTAGTATACTTTGACTGTAAAAGTATTCTTCCTGAGTGAATTAGGCCAAGGGTTATCCAGATATACAAACACGTAGATTCCTAAATCTCATCGCTGCCAAATTTCCCAACATACCGATTTTTGCCCTAATGGATTTTGATCCCGATGGGATTGCTATATTGGCAGTTTATAAGTTTAACTCAGCAAAACTTTCACATGAGCCCCATATCGCCGTCCCATCAATTAAATGGCTCGGTATACAGAGTTGTGATATTCTACCAGGTCAAATAAACTCTCAGAGCTTTATGAGTTTGTCCGCTAGGGATCGGAAGTTTGCAACAAATTTTATGCAGAAACATTCTCATACAGGAACACTGAACTTAAACTGGAAGAAAGAGCTACAAACCATGCTCATGTTGAATGTTAAAGCAGAGATTCAAATCTTAGGAGGCGCTAGCGTCTTGTCTCGCTGGCTTGATAATAAACTGCGAGAAAATCTTTCTAGAATCGAAAGTGAGGAAAATAGTGCAAATCGATGAGTTGGATAAGGTAATAGATGGCTAGAATAAATCTATTGTTTTTGTCTGCAAGAACAGATGAGATGTATGCTACACACCTGGCACCCAATACTGAACTTTCGAGCAGATTCGAGTGATTTATTTTTTGATATAATTATCATGTATAAACCAGGTTAAGAGCTTTTATTTCTGCCGAATATTTTTTGCCTTCCTTTTTTTAAATACAACCTTATTCACAACCTCGGACTCCATTTTCAAGCACGAGGGAGTTGTTTCTGGTGGAAGATCGGTTGATTCACATGGCTCTTCTTTGATAGAGATGTTGAAATGCTTTTTAGATGTCTGATCGGTAGCAAATGAGTAATCGAAATCTGTTTTTATGTTTATTTCATCTTTTACTTCAGCTTTAACATAATTGTCATTAGTATTTTTCACTTTGCTCAAGAGATTATCTAGTTCTTCAAGATCATCATTATCAACTTGATGTGATTTGTACATATAGCCCCATTTATTGTTGTTGATGTCAAGAGTCTCATCTTGATTTTCGATTTCCATCTCATTTAGAACACGTTTGCGTACATTAACCGGAGTGTCTATTTTCTTTTCACCTGGATTTATGATTCTTTGTGATACAGTTTGCCACTCACCAGGCATTGCTACCTCAGGTCTCAACCCACTTGGCATGCTGATTCCCATTTCTGCTAGCTGCGCCAATTGTTGTTTCCTGTGTGAGCCATTGGGCGTGGAATAACTTGTTACTGATGGAGAAGATCTTTTGAATGTTTGATTTGATAGGCCCGCCTCTCCTCCTGATCTTTCCTTAGATACAATGCCATTAAGGCGAGCTACCTCTGACTTCGCTCTTTCTTTGTCTCTCTCGCCTTTTTCTTGACTTCTTTGTAGATCACGAATGAAGCGCTTTAAATTCCCTTGGTGCCGTAAACTGGCATTATGATTTGTAGTTTCAAGCTTTGTATCTCGTACAAATGTCTTGCAATGTTTGCACCAAAACTTAGGCTGTAGCTTCAGTTAGTTCCGCTATATTAAGGAGAAAGACAGTACCTGCAGTGGATTTCCAATATTCCGACATCCTAGTATATGTAGGGTTTAGGAATTGGAGGTAATAAGGCGAAACTATCTACTAAAGATCAGGAACTGTACTGGCCAGCGATCAGCAGTGGGCCCCATTAAGGTATAGCACGGCGGCTTGTTCACCCATGTCACAGTCGTAGCGCTAGGCTGGATGGTGCGATGGTACATCATTCAGGCTGGTCTCCCAGGTAAATTCTGGGTAGCTTTAACTCCTACCCTTTTAGAGACAGGAAAAAGCTGATTCATGTTTTTTTTAATCATTAGTGGTGGATGCAGGCCATATTAGCTATGCTACATTTAACCGCCCATGAACGAGTAAGACGACAAATTACAGCACTCCCTCACAAAAGTGTTGCCCCAATCCCTTTTCCCACACATTTGACGCAAAGCATCTCCTACTCACGCCTTCCGCCTCGCAAAGTGAGCGGGGCATTTGAGCTCTGGCTCTCGTAGGAGCAGCCCTCCTTCCCCCTGCAACTCTGAACTGCTGCCGCGTCTTTTTTTTCGTGGTGTATTCAGCTATCTAGCTATAACACATTATTTATATAATTTATACCCCCCAAACTCCTTCCTTATGTAAAACTTACCCAATTACTTTTTAATTTCCAAATTATCGGTTGGTAATATACACGTGTACGCGTACGCAATGGGTCCCTCGATGTGATGATTCTTCTTATTCCTTGGTACAGGCGTGTCGCCCTTAAGCTTGACACGCTAAGCTGCATCAATCCACGTGACTAACTATCTACATATGGTGATCTCTCTCCTGAGCCATAGACATCCCACTCCTGGGAAAGAAGGTATCTTATGAACTAATGTTGGATGGAAGGACTCACAATCTCTTCCTTCGTAGCGTTATCTTAATTCATTGTACAACCTACGAGAGTAAGCTCAATTACTTGTAAATCATGTGTAAAGTTACTGGTAAACGGAAGTTTGCTATATTCAAACTGGAAAGCAGAGCGGCGGACAGCTGGTTTGGTTTGTTCATTTACGTGCCAGGTATTGTGACTACTGCTGCACTCCTGCTGGAGCTTAGGCACGGGTGGGGCCGTGCTGGATCAGGTTAACTACCATTAAGTATATCTACCTCGCCCCACCTAAATGACCGGACCACCTCAGACTTCACCCATGTGTTGAATCATGTCAAGCCCAACCGTCCTGAGAACCCTCTTTTGATGCGCCGAAACGCAAATTCCTCCTCAGCCTCAGCCACCACGCGCCCGAGCCCTTGACCCCTTTGCCATCTGTAACTTTTCTCTTCCATTCATTCCCAGCTTTAGCTCACCTCATCTTATCCTCATCTCATACAAGGGTCGTTTTCTTCATTGGAAGCCTCATCCAGTGGCCCACCAAGGCCTTCTCAATTAGTATTCCCTTTTTATTCCTTCACATCGGATCACTCTGTCCTTCAGCCGATCTCGTCATCCTAGAAACTTTGTAGAATGTCCAACCTTCTGTCCTTGCCCCGTCGCTGCCGTACCCCTAACCGTGGAGGTCGAAAATGCGACTGAGAGCTCAAGACCGAGGCACCGGTGCCCCAGCCTTTGTCGAACGCTCTAGTTAGTGTGCCGGCGAAATTTCGTGCGTATTTCGTCGGTGGCGATTAGTCGCAGGTCGAGTTGTTGGTGTCCTTGGCCGAGGTGAGGACGCATCTAAGGCCGGTATTTCGACCGTACCTTCACAGCGACTGGCAGTTGCGTAGGTTCGGACATCCTCTCGCTTCTTTGATGGCGATTTGACATTTGAAGATAAGGGATTGCTTCGGTGGCTGATGAGATGATTGTGGAGAGGGCCGCAAGATGATTTTGGCTGAGAATGAATTTCCAGAGAAAACAAAAGAAGATCTTAAAGGTGTCGGTTGTTGTTATACGAACATCAGACAGGTTATATGCTGTCTGCGGTTCGTATCTGGGGTGTAGATGGTCGATTTCGTTGAGTTGTGCAGTCGTGAAATCTCTGCAAGCCGGATTTTCGACCAAAAATGAGCCAACACCACTCCTCCCGATCGCCAACTCGACGAAAACTCTCAAATCCACCCTTTTTCGTGACAGAATCTCGGCCCTGGGTGAATTTTTTACTCCCAGGTTCGTAGAGGTCACCACTGACAGGTGTTCAGCATCGGTCCTCCGGAACTAAACTGTGGGGTTTTTAGTGTGTCTTTTTTGAAATAATAGGTCCTATGCTAAAGCTCTATGAACACTGTAGGTGCAGGCCCGGTGGAGCCGGCAAGGTTCCATTTAATTTTTCCTACAGCCTCAATCGTTCCAACCGGAGGGCAAGACTGAACACCTGTCAGTGGTGCTCTCTACGAGCCTGGGAGTGAAATATTCTCCCAGAGCCAAGTTCAGTCAAATTTTGCAATACCGAACAAGTTGGCCCACGAGGCAATGATTCAAATATCTCCACCACGTCAAATTTTCATTCCAAAAAAGATCGAATCCTACCTGAGCCTCATCAAGTTTACAAGTACGACCTAGTACATCCTCATTCCAATGACCACACCTCTCGCCGACCTTCTCTGGCCTCAGCCGGTCACCAAATACACGCCCACGCCGATATTTACACCCGACGGAGGAAGCAAAGCGTGGCGCACAAATCTGGGAGAACATTCTTTGGGATGGACGTGAGAGGAATCAGGACAAGTTCACAAGATGATGCGAAGGTTGGACACAGTCCCGACGGGCGTGGAGTTTTGGCAAGGAGTTTTACAAATTGAGCTTTGTGCGTGCCAAGACTTCGGTTTCGGGAGTGCAGGCGACACTATAAACACCGCCATGGTTGGATGGTGCGGTGGTACATCGTCTTGGACGGTCAGCCAAGTAGAGTCTGGATAGCTTGGACACATATCCCACTCGAGACAGTAGATCGCTGGTTCAAATCCGGCAAAACACAACCACATTTCTCGCGGCGCTGGTATGCATGGATGACGAAGGCATGCTTGGATAACCAAAGGTTTTGAAATTCCCTTTGGTGGGTACTTACGGAGGAGAGTCGACTGTTTGTGTAAGCGAACATACCTCATAGTGGTATTTGCGAATGAAATCTAGAGTATGAGTGTCTCTAACGTCAAAAGAGTCATCCAACATGTATACATAGCACCGGTCATGTGTCATAGCTTTATAGCTGAATACACATTAAATGATAAAAAAAAATCGTTCCAACCTCGTGAACCGTTGCCAATGGCGCGGCTGATAAAAACTGAAACGAAAACCCCCAAAAATCAAAACAACTCCGAAAGACAGAAGATTTCTTCGTGTAGGACCCAAGCAATGCGCTTCTCGGACATTCCCTCGCCCGTCACACCTTCCAATTGTTGAAGCTGGCGCTACTTAGCAATGAAGAGTCGCATTATCATGGAACGTAATAAGGTACTATTATTATTAGCCACATTCATGACAACTCATGCATTGACCAGCCTCCCAATTATTTAGCACAAACAAGTGAATCATGTCCTTCAATCACGAGGTGGGAGAATGGTAGAGAGGCAGCCTGGGGAAATGAAGATAGATTGGCTATGAAAGGAGAAGCAGGTGTAACTACAGTGAGATCTACGTACATGGGGTGTAGGTGTTTGCTGAGTAATGCCAAGACTAGATTGGCATTTATGTCACGTGTAGTTGTTTCATGTTCAAGCACCTACACTGCCTTGCTCATTGCATGTATGGAGCCCTAAGGGCGTAATTCCTTCACTTAGATATAATAATTAGTTTTAATAGCGCTCTGATACTAAGTGGGACAAATCGAAAACTCTCCACTATAGGTTTCAGACTCTTCAATCTCCCAACTCGCCTCACTAGGTGTTGTTGAATATAAGTCTAGCAGCTTAAGCTTCTCCATACAGCTTCCATAACAACACCAGATGACAAATTTATTCCATCACCACTGAGAGCAAGAGATGGGTTAGCAGGCACCTTTGATCCAGCCGGTATCCTGCTAAAGATTAGTAAATGCCCCAAAAGAGACATCTTCGAGGTCGCTGTATCTTAAGGCTTCTTCATCAGATTCCAACACTCCGAAATCTGTTGCCTCGGCCATCGAGACATCCTTCGCCGCGGCGATGATCGCCTCTCCGGCCTTTTTGGCTGCAGCTCGAGCTCGTACTATTTTCGCGAACTCCCCTTGTTCGATGTGGCGGATCCACGCGAGCTGCTCTTTTGTCACCGGTCCCCCACAGTTGCGACAGCGTGTGAGGGCCTTGCACTCTATTTCGGAGTGCCTATTTGATCCGCTGTTCTAGCAAGCTGGAGAAACCACGAGTGGCGTGGAAGCCCAAACAGCGTTTGCACTGTTCAATTGATCGACGAGGCTTGTGGATGGTAGCCATACTAGACTCGTCAAAGAGGAGGAAGCCCGCACGAGGGGCGGGATCCTAGTGGAAAATGGTATGCGAGTTTCGATACGGTGCTCCAGGCCGACACGTTCCATAAGGTCGGACCGGAAAGGGAACTGATTTTGTCACTCGCTTGATTTCATCAGCAACCATCTTTGCCGTCACGGCGATGGTGGCAGCAGGAGTGTTAATTGTCTCCCGTACGGTGGTAATTTGCACGGAAACTAGATTTGATGCTGGTTCCAGTTTAATTCCAGATTCACTCCGTGCTGTGGAGAAATTTAGCAGCTCTTTCCGAGCGATTTCATTCTTTGCAGTGAGTGCAAAGCCTACCTTTACCCACTGGACCAACGTGATGTCATTGGCTGCGGTTCCCAGCGCTTGTGACACAGCTGTCCTACTGCTGACTGGGGATAGTAAATAGTGGGGATGGTAGTGGTCGAGGCGCAGAAAAAGTCGTGAGCCGACTTTTTTCCTCGGGTTGACACTTTTCGCTCTAGGGGCGGGCTGTGCTGCCTTTCTTGTCTATGACCCAGCGCTGCGTGCTAGGCCTACCCAAGCTACGGTGGCCCAAGTTGTCTTTGGGGCCGGAGTCTGGGTTTTCGTAGGGTTAGGAACCCTAATATCTGGAGCCCTCGGTGGAAGAGGGTTGCTGGGGCGGCCAG